AAAAAAACTAGAAAGACAGCTGCACACCTTGATAAGGAAACTTGCCTTTGCTTTTTCTGGCCCTGTACTCTCTAAGCGCGCACGTTTACTTGGCACATCTCTACTATCAGTAAGCTTTAGAGAGTTCACATCCTTCTCCAAAACATTGTCATCTGACTGAGTAGAAGCAGAAGCGATGTCCTGTAAGAAAAGCTGATGTGAGGCGAAATATCATATGTAAAGGCTAACATTGTGGATGTCTGCCACCTCATGAGATGCTGTAGAACCACTGCCACTACGAGTACTCTAAAACTCTCATAGAGAGTATGTATGTTGTTTAGGTTACTAGTCACATACCCCGACTTCAGGAGAATTTTCTTTCAGATAACCGCCACTCTGTTTGATCACTCTGCCTTCAGCATCCGGCACCAGCTTCAAAGGACTATAAAGTGCATTCTCCTTCTCAAGAAGACCGACCTGAAGAGACCTATTTATGCAAAGGGGACAAAGGATGCGTAGACTCACAGATTCTTCGCTTGATTCCATGGTGACATCGTCGACGATGACGAGTTTCTGAGATCCAAAAGACTCATTCAGCTGAAAACTAGCGTGAGATTTTCTTTTTTTGGCCTAGGTCCCACCTTCTCCTCCCTAGTCGAGAACGAACGGTTCATCTTCAATGGCGACAGAGCCAAGCGAGATGTGCGCGATGTTACATCAGCTGGACTTGCCAAGTCTCCACTTTTAGCGGGCAAAACCGGATTTTCCAATGAAGACGATGAAGGGCAGTCCATAAAAGTAGAGTCGGAGATAGTCGGCTGTAATGTAGGTACACCAATGCAAAAATTCTTACTCTATGTTGATCCAAAACTTACGACGTCGGTATTGCTTCTAGCGTTCTCGCACCGCTCTGTAGCACCAGAACTGTGAGACATCTGCGAAGCGTCTTTATGGGCCATTTCCTTTTCTACGGAACTATTTGAGATCTTCGACAGGGAATGTTCGGCCTTGGTACGCTCTTCCGATCTGCTAGCAACGCTTTCTACTTCAGAACTGACACCGCTATCATCAGAACGCCCATTTTCTCTTATGCACGGCGTGACCGATTGTGATAGGCTATAATTTGAGTGCGTATGCGACGGAACCAAAAGAAAATAGTGATCGGAAGTGGAATTACCTCCGCCTGGCAATGCCCTCCTGCTTTTTTACGTCTGAGTCGACAAAAAGATCCTTGAGAAATAGTTCTCGACTAACTCCTATTCTCTCTTCAACCTTGCTGCCGCCAGCTTCACCAAAACGATAGCGTTTGACAACAACAATCAGAGATCTGCAACAAATCCTTAGAAGAAAGAGAACCCAAACTGGAACGAAGGCGTATGAGAGAGCTACCCTTTGACTCAACCAGATAGGCGGCTGGGAGGCGGAGTTTCGTGACCT